CATGTACTGTTCAAACGTTTCTAGACAGTGCAGACTTTTTTGTGTTCAAATAAAGGATTTATAAAAGTACATAAGTTTGAGTATACCCTGTTTGTCATGTGTGTCACACACAGACATTTACACTTTAAAAACATCAGTTTGTCATGTGAATTAGTAATTTTTATTTGCACTTTTGCCAATTGGGTGTTGTTTGATGGACAATTTTGTACATTATGCTCTTGCCAGAAGTTCTATATTAATCTAATTTCCAAGAGACTTCTTCTGGAAAGTTATACTTCAGTAAAAATATGGTGTTTTCTAACAAAGGGGCCAATGCTGAAGATTCTGGTTTTTATCTGTGTGCATTTCGTGGCTGCTTGTTTCTCAGGTAGCTAGCAGCTCATGGACCTTGGCTGGCACCTCAGAATGCATGCAAAGCACATCCTATGTAGACAGCTGTGATGTGGTTTATTTAATACAAAGACCTGGTGTGTATTACCAAGTTTCACTAAAATAGCTATGTAAGCATAACTCCCCAGCCAACATCTCCGAGCCAGCAAAACCTCCAATGTGGACACAGCCTGCTAGCCAAAAAACAAACAAAAATAACTTCTGTCAGCTTAGTTCATGTTGTTTTATAAGTTGAAGTAATTTTACTGGCAAGAAAGCTATGTGAACATCTATAGTAGATGACTGCTCAGACATTCATTTCAGAAACAGCTGTGCTAACCAAGAAATGGCACCCATGTGTGTCTCAGAGGTTATTCCCCTTGCAGCAAAGCCAGTGGAATGGCACAGACAAACACTGCTCACCCACATCAGTATGAAGGCAGATTACATTTGAGCAGTTCACAACAGGGATCTGGGGGAAGCTGCAGGGTCGTTTGCCAACAGCTGAAGGCGTGTCAGCAGTGTCCCTGCAGCTGCTCCTTTCTGCTGCTCCACTGAGGTCAGCTTGCCTCCTCCCAGGGAGGTAGCATAACACAACCCAGAACTCTAAGTCAAATAATAGTGTTTTCTATTACTACAAATAATCTGGTGGGTGAGAGAATTTTCAAATTTCAAGATACAACTTTAATTAATACTTACCTTGAAAATCAAATTGGTGGGAGTATTTTAAGAAAGAGGTTGTGCTACAATAGATGTGACCCTGACCACAAGCACAGTGACAGGAGACTTCCTTCCCTTTATTTAGGGAAGCAAGAAACAGCAGAACTTTACTCATGGAGTTTTGCCAGGTTATTCCTAACCTTGGACTTCCTTTCCTACACACTGTCTATTGTTAATATTACAATGTCACAGTATAGGAAACAGGCATTCCT